GCTAATGATATGAGCATTTCTTCGTGTATTTGCTGGCCGCCTGAATATCCTCATTGGTGAAGTGTTTATTCATGCCTTCTGCCCATTTTTTAATTGGATTGTTAATCTTTTTGTTGTTGAGGTGTTGGAGTTTTCTATAAATTTTAGAGATAAGTGCATTGTCAGTTAAGTCGTGACTAAATATTTTCCCCAATCTGTAGGGTTCTCTTTTTCCTCTTTTGGCAGTGTAACTATTGACAAGTATGAATTTGTTGCTTTCATTTTGTTATGTGCTTTTTTGTCGTGTTTCTGATTTCATTGTTCCATATAATTTTCTGTGCTGAGCTCACTTTGTTTATGACTCGTGTTATCACTTTCTTCTTTGGTACTGTTCTAGTATTTGCTAAATATTTGTGCTGGTCCTCTTTCTTATTTTAATGTGAAAGTTTATCATTTTTCTTTGAGGTTACCCTGTGATTTATAATTTTCTTCCCAAGTTTAGAACAGTCCATTATATCTTGCAGTTGTTTTGACTTCCCTACCATTTATTTATTTATTTTTAATTTTTCCTTCCTTATTTTATTTATTTTAAGAGCTTGTTTTACATTCAACATAACGTGTACATTTAGTTTCATTCCCCATTCACCATGTCCAACCCTAACCTAGTCTCCTCCCCTCCCTACCCTTTAACCTCCGCCTGTGCCTCTCATATTTATGCACTCCTATTTGTCCTGCATTTCCTCAGTTTGAATGCTGGTGCTCTGGTGTCCCATGGTCTATTGGTCTAAGGGATTGCATAGAGTATGTGGGTGTGTCATCTTGGGTTGAGTGGTTTGTGTGTATATCTTGTTAACTATTGTGCTGAGAGCCCACTCCTGGGGGTGAGTTTTATTCCAGGTGCAGAATGTATTCCAGGGACATAGTATTGGGAGTCTCACCAAATTTCATCTGACCAGTAATTCTGGTCATTATTGAGTTTTTGGATTTTGTTCCACGTTTTCCCTCCTGCTGTATCCAGGATCTCCAGATTTGATCCTTTCCTGAGTGGTTGGCATTGGTAGCCGGGCACCAACTAATTCTTCGAGGGCCATTGTGTCCTAGGGCTGATTGCTTCTAAATGTGTGGTTTTTTTTTTTTTTTTTTTTCACATTCTTCTTTACTTCTGATGCTAGGAGACCATTAGCTGCATCTTAGATGGCTGCTTGAAAGCTTTTAAGACCCCAGTCATTACTCACCAATGTAGGATGTGGAGCAATGCTTTTATGTATTTTGTTGTGCCAATTGAGTCTCTTGTCTCCCAGTACTATGGTCCTGAGGCAGTAGATCTATTGGATCTCTCTCCCATAGTGTCAGGGTGTCTGTGAGGGATTACTCTGTTGACTTCCCTACCATTTAGAAAGGAGCTGTGCTAGCGTAGTGCCTAAGGCACTTGACTGCTAACCAGAAGGCTGGTGGTTCAAACCCACTAGCCATTCCTTGGAAGGAAGGTTGGGCAATCTATTTCTGTAGTGATACCACCTCAAAAACCCAAGGAGTGGTCGCTATGAGTTGGGTCTGACTCGACGACACATAACAACAACAACAACCATTTAGAAGTTCTATAACTACACAGTTTTTCTCTCTTTTTGATTTGTAATTATCCTCATTTATAAATTGATGTCTCTTGTTCCCTGTTTACAATCTTGTAGGCTCATTTACTATGGGTACTTCCATAACTGGATTGGTGTCTAGGTTATGTCATCATGTGTGTTAACAGTCAGTTGTTTGCTGTTGTTGGTTCTCTGTCCAAAGGACTCTTTTTAACATCTCTTATAAGGTTGGTCTGGTTTTTACAAATTCCTTTAATTTCTGCTTATCTGAAAATGTCCTAATTTCACCATCATATTTGAGGGACAGTTTTGCTGGGTATATAATTCTTGGTTGGAAATTTTTTTCTTTTAGCGTTTTATACATACCATCCCATTTTCTTCTTGCCTACATGGTTTCTGCTGAGAAATCCGAGCTTAGTCTTATTGGTTGCCCTTTGTATGTAACTTTTTGTTTTCCTTTGTGGCCTTCAGGATTCTTTCTTTGTCTTTGGTTTGGTGAGTTCGATGATGATATGTTTTTTTTTTTAAAAATTGTTTAAGAGTTTGTTTTACATTCAATATTACATGCACATTTAGTTTCACTCCCCATTACCATCCCCAACCCTAACCCAGTCTCTTCCCCTCCCTGCTCAGTTACCCTTCCCCTGTACCCCTCATAGTTATGCACTCCTGTTTGTCCTGCATTTCCTTTATGTGAATGTTGCCTCTCTGGTGCCCTGTGCTTGATTGCTCCAAGGGATGCATTTCCATAGATTATGTGGGTGTGTCACCCTAGGTTGAGTGGTCTGCATGTACATCTTGTTTACTATTGGGCTGAGAGCCAGCCCCTGGGAGTGAGCTTTATTCCACGCCCAGAATGTATCCCAGGACCATAGTATTTGGGGTCTCACCAGACTCCATCCCACCAGTAATTCTGGTCATTATTGAGATTTTGGATTCTGTTCCACATTTTCCCTCCCACTCTATCCAGGATCTCCAGATTTGATCTTTTCCTGAATGATTAGCATTGGTAGCTGGGCACTATCTAGTTCTTCAGTTCTCAAGGGCCATTGTGTCCTAGGGCTGAATGCCTCCGAATTCCCTTGTTTTTTTTCACTCTTCTTCGCTTTTGACAATAGGAGACTGTTAGCTGCATCTTAGATGGCTACTTGAAAGCTTTTAAGACCCCAGTCACTACTCACCAATATAGGATGAGGAATAAGACTTTTATGTATTTTGTTGTGCCAGTTAAGTCTGGTGTCCCTCAATACTGTGGTCCTGAGATGGTAGATCTTTTGGATCTTTCTCCCACAGTGTCTGGGTGTCTGTGAGGGATTACTTTATGTCTGTCTTCTGTTGTGTCTGTAAGGATTGCAGGTATTTTGTATCACTGGTATCTGTGCAAGATTAGGCTCTGCTGAATCTGTCCTTGGTCTAGAGTATACTCCTGTTCACTGACCCCCATCTGATCCTCTCAGATGTTTATTTGTTTAGCTGTAGTGTGCTGTTTGGTGTTAATTGTAATGCAGTATTTTGGATATACTATTTGGTGTTAGCATCTGTCATCTGTCTCCTGTGTGCACAATTTGGTGTCCTCCCTTTTCCTAATGTTATTATCATGGTGGTCACAGACTATCCATACATCCCTCCCCTTACCCATGTCAGCATGTGGGCCCCAACTAGCCTGAAATTAATCCCTCCCCTTCCTTCTCCATCCTGGTAACCTACAGAGTGAGTTCCCTTTCCCAAGCAAACCCTTCTTTGTGTTTTTTACAGTAATGGGATCATACAGTATTTGTCCTTCTGTGGTTGACTTATTTCACTCAGCATAATGTCCTCCAGGCTCATCTACTTTGTAAGATGATTTGCATATCCCTCATTGTTCTTTAATGTACCATAGTATTCCATTGTATGCATGTACCATAATTTGGTTATCCACTCATCTGTTGATGGGCATTCAGGTTGTTTGTATCTCTTTGCTGTAATGAATTGTGCTGCGATGAATATAGGTGTGCATATGTCTGTCCATGCATTGCCTCTCACCTCTTTAGCATATATTCCTAGTAATGGAATTGCTGGGTCAAATGGTATTTCTATTTTCAATTTTTTAAAGAAACACCATACCATATGCCACAATGGTTGTACCAGTTACAATCCCACCAGCAGTGCACAAGAGTTCCAATCTCTCCGCAACCTCACCAGCATTTGTTATTTTCTGTCCTGTTGAACTTTACTATTATTGCTGGGGTGAGATGATAGATGATGATATGTCTTGGTGATTTTCTTTTGAGGTCTGTTTGGGATTCGTTGAACTTCTTGAACGGTTATATTCTCATCTTTCATCATGCTAGGGAAATTCTCTTCCAACAAATCTTGGACAATTTTCTCTGTGGTTTTATTTGTCTCTTCCTGTTTTGGAATTCCCAGTGACACATAAGTTATTCCTTTTGATGGTATCCCACATGTTTCTTAGGCTTTCTTCATTTTGTTTAGATCTAGATCTTTTTCTCTTATTGATGTCTTTCTAAAGAAGTATTGAGGTATTTGCTTTCAATCTCACTAATTCTGTCTACCATTAATTCAGTACTACTCTTTTGCTCTTTCAATGTGTTATCTATCTCTGAAAGTTTAGTATTAATCTTCTGGATTTCTGTCTGTAGATTTTGTATCATTTCTAATTTCTCATTTATTTTATCATTTTATTCTTGCATTGTTTTTCAAAATTATTCTAGGGTTTTCTTTGCGTTTTCCTCAATTTTGTCAGTGTTTTCCTTGATCTGTTTCTCAATACATTGAAGTTAACCTAAATATAATTCTTCTGAATTCCTTATCAGGAGTTTCAATGCTGCTTCTTCCTCAAGGATGTGTTCTGGGTCTGTATCCTGGTCCCTTGTTTCTCTTACTTTATCTTGCTTCTTTGTGTGGACTTTGATTGTCTGTTGTGTCCAAGACATTGTGACAATTTTGTGTTTATATTTAATTGGTCATTGTATGTTGAAGTGACTTACCTACGGTTTTCATTTTATTTGGCTGTTATCTACATAAGCAGGGTATTGTGCTCCTCTGTTCACTTGTTGGCAGCATTTATACACTCATCACCTGTCTGCTTTCCCATTGTCAGCCTCCCATATGTCCCTGCCATCCTTGGCAAATGGAGTCTATTCTTAGGTCCTGCTTTCATTCAGGTTTTTCTGCTAGTTGGTGCCTAATCCACTTCTGTATACTGTCTTTCAAAGCTCAGGGCTCCAGGATTATCTTCTGTATCTCTGTCAGTTGGTTTCTCTTTTCTTTGTTGAAGACGGTCTGTGTAGCTTGTGTGCCTATTACACCATCTTACTGGAAGTCTGGTACTATTTCTTCAGACAGATTCTACATATGGCTGAGCCAACCAAAGCCAAGCCCAAACCATAGGATTTCTAAGGCTGCAAATCTTTACAGAAGCAGACTGCCACATCTTTATCCCACGAAGAAGCTGGTGGTTTTGAACTGCCGAGTGTGTAACCACTGTTATAACAACCAGTGAAGCCCGTTTTTTTATGAATGAGCAAGGGAGCATAATATACATAGTAGATAATGTAAGTTTGTATGTTTCCCAGCAGATGGCAGTAAAGTGTCTTTTAGACTGTTGTCTTTTGTACTTTTTACAAATGTACCACTTGGACTAGCAATTAACCCTGTTTTTAGAAAATGTTTCTCCTTGATCACCCTATCTGAAATGCCTTCCCGTATTCTAGCTTCTTTCAGTCACCTTGCACTGCTTTATTTTCTTCAGAAGCATCTACCCCTATGTAAAATCATATCACTTTATTTCTTTAACCATATTTGTTATTACCTTGTTAGTCATATTTTGTGTGAACTAGTATTCCCTTCTACTGTACTTCTCATCTTTGTTCATGTTACTTACTCTCTCTGCCTCAACTATCTGCATGTCTCAATGCTGTTCATATAAGTCTAAACTCTAATGCTTCCTTTACTGTGAAATCTTTTGAGTTTTTTCCTGCTTATTCTTGACTGGAGACGATCATTTCTCACTTCTGAGTTTCTGTAGCTATCAGTTTCACAAAATATACATAAGAATTTCTTGGGGAGTTTTTACAAGGTATAGATTCCTAAGCATAATGCCTAGAGAGTTTCTCATTAAGAAGGTCTAGGATACGGTCTGGGAAATGGTACTTTTAAAAAGTATATACTCTCTTGGTTATACTCTCATTTGACCCTTAATCAAGTTCAAACTTTTATTTGAGTTATAGGTGATTGGTGCATGTAGCTCATCTCCCTTAACCAGCATATAAGCATCATGAGAGTAAAGACTGTCGTCGTCATTTTTTTCTCCAGAGTTTCAAATTTGTAGGGTTTAATACTAGCATGTCTTTTTTTCAGTAGTTCATTTTGGACCAGGAGAAAATTCTTCAGAAGATGCGGTCATGATGAATACACCTGTGGTTAAGGCTGCCTTGGAAATGGGCTTTAGTAGAAGCCTGGTAAAACAGACAGTTCAGAGTAAAATCCTAACAACTGGGGAAAATTACAAAACAATTAATGATATTGTGTCAGCACTTCTTAATGCTGAAGATGAAAAAAGAGAAGAAGAGAAGGAAAGACAAACTGAAGAAATGGGCTCAGGTATTTGGGAATGTTAGTCACCTACATTTTTTCTTAGTAGGGCTCATAGGACTGTCTCACATGTTGCAAGACAGCATCCTTGTCTCACGCCCACTAACTGCTAGTAACAGCTCCCCTGTCATTTCTAAACAATACTTCCCCTCTCTCCACTGTAGGGCAGGGTGCTTTTTTTTGTTAGTTTTACAATAAGAGTCCTTGATTTTTGCTAATACGATTTTCTTGAGCTATGTGTATTTCTACCTGAGATTTAAATTATTTTGAAAAAGAAAGATTTTAAAGTTGGCTACAGGAGCTCTGGTAGCATAGTGCCTAAGGCACTTGACTGCTAACCAGAAGGCTGGCGGTTCAAACCCACCAGCCACTCCTCGGAAGGAAGGTTGGGCAATGCTACTTCTGTAGTGATACTGCCTCAGAAACCCAAGGAGGGGTCGCTATGAGTCGGGGCTGACTCACTGGCACTTAACAACAACAACAACAATAGTTATTTCTACTATTTTTTTAAAGTTCCTTCAAATAATATTTTTAATAATAATGATATTTTACTCCAAAATCCTAACTAGGTGATCTTTACATAAAAAAATAGAACTCATGATGAAATCTATCTAAAAAAATAGAACTGATGATGAGAACCTCCTCTTGAACCCAAGGGTGGCAGGGAACTGAGCTTGGTACTCATCTAAAAAAAAAAACACAACCCACTGCTGTTGAGATAATATGTGCAAGGTACTTAGCATAATATCTGGCACATAGTTAGCTACCATAATTATTAAATGCATGCCTAACTTTATATCATTTTTTAAAAACTCCTTATGAATCAAATGTAACCTTTCTTAAAAAATCAAGTTTTTCCTTCATCCTCAAACCATATATAATTCCAAAATTCATTTCCTACATTTATGAAATATGAGCATGAATTTTTTAGGTATACTTCATATAGCTCCTTTGAATTTCCCAATTACTGTAATATTTAATTGCCTGTTGTCAGCACCTCAAAAAAAAAAATAAGGTACAAACTTAATTTGCTTAATATTTTCCTTCTCCTTTTTCATTTTTCTGGAATGAATTTCTCTATTCTCAAAATTAGTCCTTTTTAGTTTAGGAAACTAGAAATTCCTTTTTATAACCACAGCTTACTTTTCTGCTTTTATCATCACAACTCTTTGAGGAAGGTAGTATTATCTCAATTTTATAGATGAGGAAACTCAGGCTTATGAGGGTTAGGGCATTTAGCTAATAAGCAGCCAGGCTAGAATTAGAGCAGAAGGCTGTCCCAACCTTACAGTTGAAGCTCTTTAACACTACCCTGTTGTTGTTGTTGTTATGTGCCGTCGAGTCAGCCCCGACTCATAGCGACCCCTCCTTGGGTTTCCGAGGCAGTTATCACTACGGAAGTAGGATTGCCCAACCTTTCTTATATTTGGAGTGTTGGAAACAACATTAGTTTATGAAAACTGTACCCCGTGTCACTGATCATTATGTCTAGAAACTGGATTGAGGATAGGTTTTGCTGTGTCTATTTTCATATCCCCATTCCCCCACCCTCGCCCCACCCCCCAAAAATTTAAATCTTAGGAAACAAACACTGGTTTAGGAGACCTGGTTCTACATCTTATTCTCTTGGTGCCCTTGGGCAGATTAGTCATTCATTTCTCAGACTTTTTCTCCATATCTGAAAATGAGGGGCAGTCATACCTGCCTTGACAGGATTGTTGTTTCAAATGTGACAATTTATATGAAGTGCTTATAAAACTAAAATGATATAATGCAAATAGAAGTCAACATTATTAATCCCATGGGGGAAGACTATAGAGGTGAGAAATTTTTAATATCCTCTAAAATTCTCTGCGTACTCTCAACAGAATAAAGAAAAAGCAGAGGTCTAAGAGGTATAAATATATAGTCATTTTAAACAATGAAAACAGAAACCCTGGATGTAGTATGTAATATAACTTAGATAAATCTTGTGGAAGTTTTCTCACAGGCATTAAAGTACAGTGAAATCATTTTGCCTTTCTGTTTTCAAGCTCTTATTTAATGGCTAAATTGTTTATAGGATTGGTTGTTAGTGATTATATGCATGTAATAGGAAAAATTTAAAATCTAATGGATTTTTTTTTCTTTTTTTAAATGAAGATGACTTGTCATTAATTCGGAAGAATAGAATGGCTCTCTTTCAGCAGTTGACATGTGTGCTTCCTATCCTGGATAATCTTTTAACAGCCCAAGTAATTAATAAACAGGAACATGATATTATTAAACAAAAAACACAGATACCTTTACAAGCAAGAGAATTGATTGATACTGTTTTAGTAAAAGGAAATGCTGCAGCTAACATCTTCAAAAACTGTCTAAGAGAAATTGACTCTACCTTATATAAGAACTTATTTGGTGAGTTTGTTTGGGGAAATTATTTTAGAAATCCTTAAGGTTTTGTTTATCTGTGTCTTTGACATCTGTGTCTTGACAAACAAATCTAATTAGTAAAGTATAATCTTTATCTTTAATTTGTTCCAAAAGAATGAAGTCTATTGCTGAAGAAGTATAGCTAAATGTAACAATTCCTGATAATATTTAGCCAGGTTCCATGTTACTGAATTAGGTAGTAGGTGTGGAAAAAAATAGGTATTAGGTGAAGCAGTCTTAACACTTATTAAGTTTGATGTTTTTCTTTCCTCAGTGGAAAAGAACATGAAGTATATTCCAACAGAAGATGTTTCAGGTAAAACAAAATTAACACTTACTACCACCATGAATTGTTACCCCCTCTTTTTTTAATTAAAAAAAAGTGGGAGATAAAAGTAGAAACTGCATTTCACTGAAATTATTTTTTTGTTATTAGGTCTGTCTTTAGAAGAACAGTTGAGGAGGTTGCAAGAAGAGAGAACTTGTAAAGTGTGTATGGACAAAGAAGTTTCAATTGTATTCATTCCTTGTGGTCATCTGGTAGTATGCCAGGAATGTGCCCCTTCTCTAAGAAAATGTCCTATTTGCAGGGGTATAATCAAGGGTACTGTCCGTACATTTCTTTCATAAAAGAAAAGTAGGCTATATAAAGCCTATATAGAAAAGTCTTTAAAATACCATTGGGCAGTTGAAGCTATTTGAAGTAAAGAAAGGAGCCCTGCTGTTACAATGGTTAAGTGCTCAGTGCTAACCAAAAGGTTGGCAGTTTGAACCTATCAGGTGCTCTGTAGGAGAAAGATGTGGTAGTCTGATTCCGTAAAGATCACAGCCTTAGAGACCCTATGGGGCAGTTCTACTCTGTGCTATAGAGTTGCTATGAGTTAGAATTGACTCCATAGCAGTAGGTTTTGGTTTTGAAGTAAAGAAGGAATGATTGGTTTTTAGATTAGTAACATTTGTGTTCCATTCTGCTTTGGTACGAGTAGTCCTGTTTTCCTAAAAAATGCTGTCATGCATCATATCTAATCTTAATCTGTTTATTTGTAAGGGAATATTTATGTTTGATGAAATATATTGGTGTAAATGTGTGAATGTAGGAAGAATTTAAGAGTAACCACAGTGCTGTTACATAGCATTTCAGAAGTTACTGGATTTGGAATTCTTTCTAGCAGTTTTGAGTATAGCATATGAGTTGAAAAGAACTGGAAACCAGAAGCTCTGGAGTTTACCAGAGTTGTGGTGCCAAACTCTTGGTGGTGTTTTGCATTTGTGTTGTAAAAGTAGGTTTTTTTTTTTTTTTCCTTACTGGTAAATAAGCTTATCCCTAATTTGTGAGAATCATCTTAATAAAGTACCTTTGAAAGGACCACATTATTGTTTTATTTCCCCTTGAAGTAAAAAGTTATTTCCATGTATCTTCATAGGGTTATAAAGATTAAATAATGTGCATAAACACAATATAAATGGCTTGCTACTAAAAAATTGAATTTTTCAAAGAAAATATAAAAAAGTGTTTTTTAAATAGTAATGGATTGATTTATAAGGAGCTCTGGTGGTGTAGTGGTTAAAGCATTTGGCTGCTAAACAAAAGGTCAGTGGTTGAACTCACCAGCTGCTCCATGCAAGAAAATGAGGCAGTCAGCATCCATAAAGATTGACAACCTTGGAAACTGCATGGGGGTTGCTATGAGTCGGAATCAACTGGACAGCAGTGAGTTTGGTTTTTTTTTTTTTTTAATGTGATTTATGAGATTCTTTTAAATAATGACAGTTTAGTTGCTTATTGGATATAGTGTAGAATAAACAATGAGTATCAAAAAATGCTTAATAAATAACATTAGGTAAATCTGTATTAGGATTTTTAAAGCATAATGCAATAATTTTGTTGCATAGTCATTGACTGGATGAGAAGGTAGGATACAGTCAGTGGTACTCTCCTTTTGTGGGCTCAATCATATTTGACCCTTTCGGGGTCTTCTGGCTGTACAGCAGATTTGTGAGGCCAGGTGGATGTGTCTAATATTAAAAACTCTCCATTTTTCTCCTCCCCCCACAACTGCTTTGGATCTCTTTAAATAAAGAATACACTGAGAAGGGTGAAAATCTCTATGTTCCAGTGTCTTCTCTTAAACCTTTGTTTCTATCCTAATGTATTACATATCATCCGGATAGGTAAGTCCAAATACATACATTTATCATTATCAGGAGGGACCAGTCCCTGGAGAAGGACATCACTCTTGGCAAAGTAGAGGGTCAACAAAATATAGGAAGATTGTTAATGAGGTGGATTGACACAGTCGTTGCAACAGTGGGCTCAAACATGGTAATGACTGTGAGGATGGTGGAGGACTGGTGCTCGAATAGTTTCTTTTAGAAGGATCAGCACAAGGCTGGTCCCTATAAGGTAGAGGGTAAAGATGTCCCAAATATCCAGCTTTTCCAAACTGTTGTACCACTGCATCATCTCTAACATCAACTCTTCCTCCTCCACTCAGTATTCTCCCTCCTGTCTTAGGGTTCTTTATTTCACAGTAATATCTCAGAACTCACAAACTGCCAAGGAAATGACTCAACGTGGTGGTGAAGGCTGGGAGGCTGGCAAGCTCCATATCCTGGGGTAGGTCTGGAGGATTCTCCTCACTCACATGGTTGCAGGGCCTGGCAAACCCAAATTGGTGGGTCAGATGATCAGCTGCTGTCTCAAGTCCATAGGTGAGATGACAAACCAAATGCAGAAACCAAATGCAGGACCAGAGCAAGAGAGAACAAACTTGGCCTGGACATTCAGATATATGCCCTCAAGGAAGCTAAGGATGGTGTCTTGAGTCACGCCCTCCAGCAAGGCGGGACTCAGGATATATCACACCCTAAACAGGAATAAATCAAACCAAAACCACACTCAATGCTGTCAAGTCGATTCTGACTCATAGCGACCCCTCCTTGGGTTTCTAAGGAGGTATCTGTATGGAAGTAGATTGCTCAATCTTCCCTTCAAGGAGTGGCTGGTGGGTTTGAACTGCCAGCCTTCTGGTTAGCAGTCCAATGCCTTAGGCACTGTACCACCAGAGCTCCCTAAACAGGTATTGGGTGTTAAGATTTACAATACATCACAAAATGGAGGACTATGGCTAGAAGTTCTGGGCCATATGAAACAATTCACTGCACTGCAGCTGGGCAGTATTTTGTTCTGTTACACATGGGTCACTATGAGTTGGAACTAATATCCACAGCACCTAACAACAACATTTAAGACTTCATGTTAGTGAAAGTGAGACTTTCCTGTGGTCATTGGAAATTTCTAAGGAGGGGATTTTTTAAATTTCAAAACGTATTAGGTGTAGAAAACTTTTCTCTGTCTTCTAACCTGGAACTGTGAAATAATTCCTCAAGGGATTATTAGTTCCTTCAAAGAGTCAAGAGGTCCTTTAGTCTGTTACTCAGTATGTCTAAATGTTAGAGTGAATCAGCTTTATCATGGAATGCTGTTAAATCTTTTAAGAAACTTCTTTCTTTCCTAATAAAACCCAGTTGCTATTGAGATGATTCTGAGTAGTGTCAGAGTAGAACCATGCTTCATAGTTTTCAGTGGCTGGTATTTTGGAAGTAGAATGCAAGGACTTTCTTCCAAAGTGCCTCTGGGTGAACTTGAACCTCTCCAGCCTCTTAGTAAGCAGCCAAGCTTTGTACCAGTCAGGGACTGCTTGCTTAATAATAGTTACTATGTATAGAGGATCCATCATGTGCTAGATACTTGATAAACAATTGAGGTGGTAGATACCCTAAACACATTAGTTCTAATCCTTTCAAGATAAAATTTGAACATGAGTCTGATTGCTTTCATAGTTTGTTCTTTTTGGGGAAACTATCCTATTTAGTTGAATTAATATTTTTTAAAATTACATAGACTGTCATATGGTATAAATATAATAACTGAGTTTTGCTTATTTGGAAGTTTATCATCTTATTTAGGAGCCTTGGTGGTGCAATGGTTAAGCATTTGGGTGCTAACTGAAAGGTCATCAGTTTGAACCCACTAGCAGCTCCTTTGGAGAAAAGACCTGGTAATCTGCTCCTTTAAAACATTACAGCCTAGGAAACCCTATGGGGCATTTCTATTCTCATATAGGGTTGCTATGAGTTGGTATCAACTCAATGACAAACATCATCATCTTACTTGACTTTGTTCAAGGTACAGGTAGTCCCTGACTTATGATGGGGTTTTGTTCAGATGACTCCATCATAAGTCAGTTCTGATGTAAGTTACTTACCTCATTTTTAAAAAAATTTTAATTACTGCCTTTTATTATCAGTATCTTTATAAACCATAACATTAAACATTTGTGAGTAAACATCAGAATAACATTGGCAAATTATGTGTTGCAACATTTTATGTAGTACATATTGCTAATAAGATGTACCAAAACTAAAAAGATGTAAGTGTGGTTCATCTTAATTCTGTTATGCCCCAAGTTGGGGACTACCTGCAGTATTTTAATAATGTATAAGGACTTTGGTTCTTTTCACGTTCAGTAAAATATTGCATAAAATGTAGGTAAATGGTAATGTAATTAATACTTCACCAATTTGCTGAATTCTCATGTGTGCCTAGGTCAGATAGTAGGGGTTTTTCCTTATCATTTTTGTCCTCCTAACAATTTTTTTTTTTTTTTTAAATAATAAAAGGAGCTCTGGTGGCATAGTGGTTAAGGCATTCAGCTGCTAATAAAAGGTCAGCGGTTCAAACCTACCGCTGCTCCATGGGAGAAAGATGAAGCAGTTTGCTTCTGGATAGATTTATAGCCATGGAAACTCAATGAGGCAGTTCTCCTTTATTCTATAGGGTTACTATGAGTTGGAATCGACTCTGTGGAAGATTTGGTTGGAATAATAATAATCACAGTGCTATAACATGTGCTCATTATGTTGACCAAATGGGTGAATGTCACATGCTTTGTTGGGTCTATTTATTGACCAATTTATCCTTAAAACCCTAAAAGAGATGTTAGGCTCAGTGAAATGATCAAGATTGCTGAAGATATTAAATGGTGTACTGTGAACTTTATATGGTCCAAGTGGGATTGACTGCAAAAACATTTACATTTTAAAAATAATGCTTGGTCAATCATGACTTCAGTTTGCTACTTGCTTGTGTTTGGAAATATGTATTTCATCACCCTCTTGACCTAAATGGGAGAATTTTATAAGCTATCATTAGTTAAGCCTTTTGCATGATCTGTCTTGGTAGCTTCCCATGTTCTGTCTGAAAAGAGCACAAGTGCTGGAGCTGAGTAGAGAGTCTCTCTTCTCCACCCTCTCACAATCTTCCAGACTTGTTGGCTGCCATTCATTCTAGGAATCAAAAGGCAGCTGGCACTTGGAAGACCTAAATTTTCTCTGGAAGTGTAACATTTCAGTCCATATGCTATATACACACACACATAAGTATGCTAAGCAAATACTCCAAGAAGCATAACTACATGAAAAACGTGGCATCAGGATTGGAGGAAGACTCATTAACAACCTGTGATATACAGATGACAAACCTTGCTTGCTGAAAGTCAAGAGCACTTGAAACACTTACTGATGAAGATCAGACACTACAACCTTCAGTATGGATTACTCCTTACCATAAAGAAAACAAAAATCTTCACAACTGGACCAGTAAGCAGCATCAAAATAAATGGAGAAAAGACTGACATTGTCAAGGATTTCATTTTACTTGGATCCATAATGAATGCCCATGGAAGGAGCAGTCAAGAAATTAAATGGCGTATTGCATTGGGTTATCTGATGCGAAATACCTCTTTGAAGTGTTAAAGAGCAAAGATGTCACTTTGAAGACTGCGGTACACCTGACCCAAGCCATTGTATTTTCAGTCACCTCATATGCATGCAAAAGCTGGACAGTGACTAAGGAAGACTGAAGAATTGATGTATTTGAAGTGGGGTGTTGATGAAGAATACTGAATATACCGTGGATTGCCAAAAGAATGAGCAAATCTGTCTTGGATGAAGTACAACCAGAGAATGTGCCTTAGAAGCGAGATGGCAAGACTTTGCCTCTAGTCCTTTGGTCTTGTTGTCAGAAGGGACGAGTCCCTGGAGAAGGATATTATGCTTGGTACAGTGCCAGTGCCAAACAGGAAGACCCTCAACAAGAAGGATTAACAGTGGCAGCAACAATGGGCTCAAGCATGTCAGCAATTGTGAGGCTGGTGCAGGACCAGGCAGCGTTTCGTTCTGTTCTACATAAGGTCACTGTGAGTCAGAACCGACTTGACAGCACCTAAGGACAACAATGTATGAAACAGTCCTATTAGTGTATACATAGTAGCAATTCTTAAACTTCTTAGTGTTAGGACCCCTAAAAATTATTGGGAACCCCAAAGAGCTTGTGTTTATGTGAATAGTATCTACTGATATTTATTGTGTTATTGCTTTATAGTGTCAATTTAGCACCTGCAGTCTGACTTTTGTATTTTGGGCTTTTCCTGTTCTGTTGATTGCTCTTGAGTTTAGGGAAATGAAGTAAAATCATACTCTTGAAACTCCTGGATGGAGAACAAAATTTTATTCTAAAAATAGATCTCAGTAACAATGAAATACCAAAAGCTGGTCACTATAATAATAAGAAAAAAAGGTAACAGGAATTTGCTTTAAAGTTTTTTATACAAATTACAAAATTATTACTAATGGACTGCCAACTCCCATTTGTTTGTGTTTGAGTGCATTTTATGGATTATCTATGGAAATTTAAAAATTTTGATTTCTGCCTAATATTTAGATGTACATTTTGATTGTTTTTATTTTCAAATAAATACATTTTCAAGAAATGCAAACAGATTTAAACACTTGTTTAAGTAAACATAGCCAGGAAAATAAACCTACACTTAAGAAATGTGTTACAAAACAAATTAAGTTTTACATCACTGTTTCCCTCATTTTTTGCAGATAACAAAAAAATCGACTATATTGAAATTACTAGTATTTAAAATTAACAACTTCTAGTACTTCTGTACAGAGAAAAGACATAACTAAATTATTTCAAACCAAAGCTAAGAAAACTTCCAAGGCAAACAATGACATTTAGTACTAAAGAAGTGGTTTTATATCTTCAAAGTGCTAAAGAAACAGATATTCAAGAAAAACTTAAGGCCTGTCCGCAAAGTTGTGACTAGAAGTACCAAAATATCAAGGTGCAGGAGACAAAACAAAATTTTTTTTTTTGTTAGAAAAGTAGATTTGAAAGGCCCCTCTTACTATAAAATATAACTGTGTTTGCAGAGAAAGCAATGACTGAACGACCAGGTCAGGGCCAAGTTAGCAACATGCAGTTCACCTATGAGCCCACATCTCTTTTCAGACTACACATGCATGCTTCATAAAATTTCTTCCTCACTGCAGGTGTTACAGAGATCTTACTCATAGTATCTATCACCCATATTCATCACAACAGTTGTCCATAATGCACAGTGAATAAAAATGATCCTTTTATGCCCAAATTCTTGATCCCTGGCATTCTCTGCAAATCCAAGCTAATCACAAAAGAGATTTATTTCTATTAAATGCAAGTGTATGTTCATTGGGCCATTTTAACTTATTTTTAGATTTTCAGGTATTGGTGCAATTTACTTTGGCTATCTAAGATAAGAATCCTTAGTGTAACTAAACGCCTGTTTGTCAAAACTTGACCCTGAGTTTTGAGTGCTGGGATATAAGATGGAAAACTACAGACAGTCCAGACAAAATACACTGGCTAATGTTGGTGTCCCTACAATACTGTGCTTTTCTCCACCCCTTCAGCAGAGGAGGAGGAGGAGTCTGGGGGAGTGCCTAAATCAGGAAGTAGGAAATTCCCTGTCTAAAAATTCCTCTTTTAAAACGTCATAAGAATTTGTTCCAAAATATATTTGTGTTTGTTTTAGTATAAAAATGCTTTTCCCCAAATCTTTGAGTAAAAATGGTATTATATGAAAAAGCTGCATTTTCATCCTGCAGCTTTTAGTATAGCCTAGGGGGAACCCCATAATCCCTGTCTCCTCGGTAAATACAGCATTCATTAATCTATAGTTTGAACTGTATGGAGTTCTAAATGTTTTGGAAACCATGTAAAAAACTTTAAGTTAGTTGTGTTTATACTCCATTAGACATTTCTAAATATTGAAAGCAGCTCTACGTCTCTTCAAAATACTCACTAAATATAAAATAACAAGTGAATATGAAATAAAAGCAGTTTCCAGTGACGACAATATTCTCACAGTAGCACATATTCTAGGAGTAATTTTCTGTAATGCCAGGATTATTTACCACTAGCAACTAAGTCTTTAAAACACTGTCATGTTAAACATTGCAGTTTATTGAAATCATACAGCAAAAAGCCAGAGAGAAATTTCTACCAACTACCATTGAAAGCTCAAAAGAAGTTATTAAAAATATAGTTTCTCCAATGCTCCAATTAACAGGGCTAAGCCAGGTATTGCTTCTGGCTTAATATGAAGATTTTTTTTGGTGGTGGGGATGTTATTTTTCTAAACTAACTACTATAATATATAAAATGATGCTTTTTGAAAAGACACTTGAAACTAAAATTACGTTTAGGACCTACTTTAATCAATTATATAATTTCTGCTGTGTAGCATTAGTAACTAGGGTATACCCAGCACTGAAACTCTTTGTGAAAGCAAAACAACAAAACACTCAAAATCCTGATTGCTGTGACAAGCTTCTTACTTGTGTGCCCAGATGGCGTCCTGCCCTGAGGTGATGCTATCTTCCAATTACTGGCCCTAGGTGACCAATGCCACAAGGAAATAGGAGAGGACTTGTCTTACTATGTATGTACAAAAGTGAATATAACCCTTGCATTAACTGTTTGCTAGAGCAAAAACAAAAAACAAAAAAACCCACTGCCATTGAGTTGGTTGCAACTCACAGCAACCCTATTGGACAGAGTAGAACTGCCCTATAGGGTTTCCAAGGCTATAAATCTTTATGGAAGCAGACTGCCATATCGTTCTCCCACAGAGCGGCTGGTGAGTTTGTACTGCTGATGTTTTGGCTGGCGGCCAGGTGGTTTAACCACCGCATCACCAGGGCTCCTTGCTACCCCTAAGTGTTCATTAAAAAACCCACACCAAACTCCTTTTAATAATCAAGCAAATTCTTCCCTACAGGTTTATATAATACATTGTACATTATATGCATGGCCTGTTTCTACTATTTCCAAGAAGAGAATTTTTACACTAAAAATAAACCAAAATTAACTGATAGGGCTGCATCAATCTTCCTTCTTTCCTTGGTCCTTGGATTTCCTTAAATGATGGCATCATGTTCATCACTGTAATATATCAAAGGTTATAATTACTTTACATGTTATATCAGTATCAAAATTACATGTTCATATTTGTAAGAAAAGTAACCTTAGAACAATTTCAGGCTTCCCAATAAAGAAGCTCTGGTGGTGTAGGGGATAAGGCATTTGGCTGCTAACCAGAAGGTCAGTGGTTCAAACCCACCAGTCTCTCAGAAGAGGCAATCTACTTCCATAAAGATTTACAGCCTTGGAAATGCAATGAGTCATAACTGACTTGATGGCAGTGTTTTTTTTTTTGGTAATCAAAATGAATTGTCATTACCCTATGTGAAGTTTATTATGTAAAAGCACTGGTAGATTGTAGTGGTTAAGAACTCCCAACAGTAGTTAAGGTTGTCAATCAGACAGCCCCTGCTCTGCCTCTTAGTGGCTGTGTGACTTTACTAGTTAGCTATTATAACCCCCTTTAAAAAGAAGCCAACCAAACGAGAACCATTATTGCCTGACCATTTACTGTGTGCCAGGTGTTATGCTTTATATCCATATCTCATTTTAATCATCCCAGCAGCTCTACACAGAAGGCACTTTTATTATCCAACTGCAGAGGATCAAAAGCTTATGTGAACTCTCTTGTGCCCACAGCCTGAACTCTTGACCACTGCACACTAATATGCATGGGGAGGCACCTTGTTAGTCAACAGCAGCACCAGGGCTCAAAATGTAGTCTTTCTGCCCTGAGCCTTCTTAACCACTTCACTCTACCATCTCCATGCAACTCTTAAGATCAAGGAGCTAAATTTTTAATTTGTGTTATTATCCAGTAAGTGAGAACTAGAACTGTTTGCTCATTATTCCGTGATACAGGAGGTGTCTCAGTTCCCTTAATGATACTTTAAAATGCATTGGTGTTTTCTTTTTATGTAGCAGTAAGAGCCAAAACCAACCAAACTCAACTGCTGTCGAGTTGAATCCAACTCATAGCAACCCCTCCATGGGTTTCCAAGGCAGTATCACTATGGAAGTAGATTGCCCAACTTTCTTCCCAAGGAGTGAGTGGCTGGTGGGTTTGAACTGCCAGCCTTCTGGTCAGCAGTCAGGTGCCTTAGCCACTATGCCACCAGAGCTTCTAGCACTAAGAGATAGCCAATTAAACTGTAATCATGTTTTCTCATCCCATTGATTGTAAGATACAGTTTCAGAAATGTTAACGTGAAAAATAAGAAAATATACATCCAGACTTGCCTACATATGGTATTTCCCACATCCTGACTCCTATATGAATATAAGCCTATTAGAATCAAACTCTGCTTCTGCCAGCACAGTGCCCTTACTATGGGAATTCTGGGCTCTGACTTCTTTCATAATGCATGCAGCATTATCTGGTCACGTATATGTAAGAAAGATTAGCCAACAAAGCTAAAATTGCATACTTTGTAGTAAAGGCAGATTTAAAATGAAAACAGCAAATTTTAATTGCTGCATTATTTAATGGCCTCAGGCATATCAACAAATATTAATCTTATAATGATGTCCAATTTACTATAATCACAATGTGCCTTCTGTTTAAGTGGTGAAGTTTACCAAGAAAACATGATAAATACTTCTAGAATTATGCAGTGGTTTTAAAAAATATTTCAAAGTTTAAATAACACTATTTGATCACAATATCATTTAGGTATTTTTGTTCTTTTGTTGAGTTGATCTAAAAAAAATGTTTTGGAATATGCCTTTAATCTGGCAAAAACATCTTTATGTTCTTTTAAACATTAAGTTTAAAAGAGTTTGGTATGATGAATAAATTCAAGGTAACTTTTTATTTAAATATTAGCAATATGACTTTGTGAGATCCATTTCCACTGATAAGACTGTTTCATTCAGAAGTTTATGTCAATGATTTGAAAAGTTGAGAAACTTTCCATGTTCTTATTTAGTACTTGTTATAAATTCCCACCCCCCAAAATAACAAACCCTCTGCCACTGAGCTGATCCCAATTCATAGTGACTCTATACAGAATAGAGTAAAACTGCCACATAGGGTTTCCATGCTGTAAATCTTCAATGATGCTGACTGCTGCATTTCTCCTGCGGAGAGGCTGGTAGGTTCAAACCACTGAACTTTCAGTTAGCAGCTGAGCACTTCAACCACTGCACCAACAGGCCTCCTGTTATAAATCAGTACCTCTTTAATGTACCGAGAAGTTTGATTTGCTTTTATATGTACTGAATCATATCTAGTGTCAAAAAAAGAAAGGCTCACTCAAATAACTCAAGTATTTCTTAAAATTTGTCCTACACAGTACTACTTCCAAGAAATGTACCCTGGAAAGAAAGGGGGGAGAGTTATTTATTCAACAAATACTTGAATGAAAAAATCTGAAAAATGTTTTACACTATATTCCTCTCCTGGAAACTCTTAATGCAAATCAGCATATTAAAGGCTCAGAGAAGTCCAGAAGTAAAGTATTTTCTTCAGTTTATTTATGAAGAATATGTTAGATTAACAAAAATAAACTATGACCAATCAATACGTATCACAATACTGTGTACAGCTCCTAAAACAGACGTTAAGTTTTCTTAGTTCCCAAGAAGAGTATCTAAAATGATTAAGAGAATGAACTGGCTTTGTACATACAAAACTCAAAAAACAAAAACAAAAAGGACTTTGTTGAAGCAGTAAAATATGGGAGGTGATACATTAAAAAACCATCATTTTTTACCACCACAGACTGTTCTGAGTGGCATCACAATAGTTGGTCTTAGGCAGAACAGAAGAAATATTTGGAGAACTCAAATGCTTATTTATTAAAAAGCCCAACAAACTGGAACAGTAGAAAACTGAGGACTTCAGGAGACTATTGCCCTAAGACATTCTTGAAACCTAGAACCAAGCCTATTCTCTGAGATTTCCCTTTAGAAAAATAGCAGAGTGGCACACAAAATAAAGGATTTATCACCCATAAGATTAACTGAACATAATTAAAGAGAATGTTGACACATTGTGATAAATGTGACTAATGTCACCAAACAATTTGTGTGGAAATGGCCAAACGGGAACCTACTTGCTTTGGAAGCCTTCACGAAAAACTGAATATAACATTATTTAAAAAAAATCCAAAACCATCACTCCTACAGAGTTAATGAATTTAATTTAGCTCTTACCTAAAAGAGCTTTATTGCAGACTGATTAATATTTACAATAACAACTCATTTAACATGTAAGTTGTTGTTATATGCCATTGAGTCAGACCCGACTCATAGTGACCCCTCCTTGGGTTTCTGAGGCAGTATCACTACGGAAGTAGATTGCCCAACTTTCCTTCTGAGGAGTGGCTGGTGAGTTTGAACCACAAGCCTTCTGGTTAGCAGTCAAGTGCCTTAGCCTCTATGCTACCAGAGCTCCTATTTTCTTTAGTTTTTGAAGTCTTTGTTGTGGAAATAAAAAACGTATTTCTACTGTGCAGACTAGTACTAGGTTAACAGCTTGATGAAATCTAATACAGTATGTCTTATAATCAGAGATATAAGCAAATGAAAAGGACTGCATGAACTTGGATCCCTGGGACCAAAGCATGACACTAGTAAAATACAAACATTTTTAAGTATATACATATATTTTCATTTCCAAATAAGTATAAGCTTGTACATAAACAATTTACTATATGGGCTTAGATAATAGGAATGTAACTCATAAATTAAAATCCTTGAGATGAACCTTGGATTTGATATTTAGTCATGATATTAAAATTAAATAAACACAAATCAACAACAGCAATCAACATCTCAGTCAATCAGAACTTACATGGTTCTATACCGAATGCCTCTTCTGGAATAGTATGTTTTGCATCCAATGTAAAGAATAGATAAAACTCCCAGTGTTAATACAATTCCACCAACAAAGCTACCAATATCAAATTTTGATCCTTTATTTCCTTTAGGATTAATAGTTGCTGTGACAAAAAGAGAAAAAACAGGCTTTAGTGCTTTTTTATTTTTTTAACACTGTAATAAACTAAAACTTCCTGAATTTTTGTGTAGCAACACTGAATTGGGAGGGACTATCCAAGCATAGAAAGTTGATTTCTAGCCTACTTTGTATCCAGTGACTGCTGTTTCTATTTTCCTCCATAAATGTCCTTTAACTGAAACCCCAAGATCTTAAGTTCATTCAAGTGTTTGATAATGTTGGACTGGAATAGGCTAACAAAATTCCAAAAGCAGCAAGATTTAGGGAATTTTTTTCTTACATAATCTATGAAGAGTTTATGCCTTAAGAAATAAGGTCTGAGTAACACAACTGTAATCCTCAAACTGGATCCAATATGAGGAAGTGGTTCTGAATGAAATACTTTTCTTTGGAATAAATTATTGGGAATTTTACCTATTTTGATTTTATCACTTCAAGAAATCCTGACACAGTTGGGAAAACTGGTTTCAATACATAGACTGTAATGATAAACTATATGGAGTAGAAATACATTAAACATAAAGGAAACTTGTTCTGATAAATATAATCACTAATTTTTAAACAGAACTTCAACTTTAGATAACTTCAAATATTTCTGAATTCATGGTTTTATAGAAATTACATTTTAAACATATTGAAAAAATAAACAGTGCTTTCTAATACTATGTCCTATATACTAAATGATTTACATGCTTATATCTCATATATATATATATAAATATAAAAAACATATGTATGGTCCGAATGAGTTATAACCAAAGTTCTTATCAAGCCCACCCAATTCTTTTCTAGCATGAGATAGAAAGAGTTAAATGTGTGACAGAATTTCACACTATGTAAAATAAAATTCCCTGTTAGGATAAATTACTTATTCACAGATGGGGCATATACTATCATTATTTCACATATTTAAGTTAGAAACTCATTTTTTTTTTTTTTAATGGAGAAGAATACTAGGTCACTTGACTCTTTTTCTGATTCTAATTTATTTTAAAACAATCACTGACTAAATGTGTACATGTATTTTTGCAAAAGGAATGATGAGCTAAAGGTGGCATTTGCCAGTTATTCTCAGCATGGTAAAAATTGGTCAATTTCAATACATACTTGTTACTAATGAAGAAACAGATGTCACGGAACTATTGTGAGTGGTGGTCATTGTGGACGTTGGTATCTTAGATGGGCTTTGTGAAATACTTGTTGTTTTGGGGGTAGACTTTATAGTGATAGAAGTCGTATTTGCTGACATCTTAGATGTTGGTGTCGGTTTCAAGGTGGCAACTGTCACATTGCTCGAGACTGAGGAAACTGGAGTTGATGGTTTCACAGTGCTGCTGGAGTTGTTTGAGTGGTTGGGAAACCCAAGTGGGCTATTCCCTGCAAGAATATCAAGAAACATTAAAATTGGAGCTATGGCTCAGGAGACTTAAGATTCCATTTCAATATGACTTTCATGATCACACATAAAGAAATCTAACAAGTACAGCGGCATCAAAAGTATTTCATTAATATTTTGCACTATACTGCAATAAAGTATCTCAAACTAGTAAAAGATTCAACATCAACCAGCCTAGATTTGGGAAATGTGAAGATGTGAAAAAGTTAAAATCCAGAAGACTAGTTCCTTCAGTGTAGGGAATGTCTTTATCATTTCTGGGTCTGAACATCTTAACATACCATTCAAATATTTGCTGAAAGGATGAAATACTAATGCATTAAAAAGAAAGGGTTTTTAAGTGAAAGCTGCTCTGCCACATCCCTCTACAGAGCTTTGAGGACAATCAGTAGCTGCATGTTTCTAACTACACTGGGATGTGAACATGAGTGACATTCTTTGTAAAGGTATAACGAACTTCACTTAATACAAGAGAGCTCTGGTATTGCGTAAGGCATTTGACTGCTAACCAGAAGGCTGGTAGTTCAAACCCACCAGCCACTCCTTGGAAGGAAGGTTGGGCAATCTACTTCTGTAGAGATACTGCCTCGGAAACCCAAGGAGGGGTTACGATGAGTCGGGTCCGACTTGAGGGCACATAACAACAACAAATATATCTAACTGGAAATTTCATACTGGCAATAATTTTTCATTATTGTAAGGATATTTCCAAAACTACTTCTGAAGACCTTAAAAATCCAAAAGCCAGTTTTGTGTTTATTAATTTATTAATGATGATTTAAAATAAATAACCCAAACAACTCTTTAGCTCATACCTAAATCTGAGTTTTTCCTTTTTGGTATGAAATGATGTTATGCTAAAAGGAATAGATCCTGATCATGCTAATACTCCTAAGATAAAATCTAATTCTTTTTTTTCCCATTTGAGAATACTTTGAATAAAATATGTTGTTGTTGTTATGTGCCGTCGAGTCAGCCCCAACTCATGGCGACCCCGCCTTGGGTTGCCCAGGCAATATCACTATGGAAGTAGAGTGCCCGACTTTCCTTCCGAGGATAAACCTTTCTGCTCAGTAATACGGTATTTCATACTGTATTTTCTTTGTAACTCTACAATTTAACTGATTGTTACAACTAAAAGTACTTCAATTATTATTTCAATTTAGTACACACTATATAGACAATGAAAGATTGGTATTTCTTTGTCCTTTTAATATGATGTAATTTAATTTCTGTATGTATCTTCTATTTATTTATAGGTTTATTCATTTATTATGTTGCCCATCGGCTCCCATGTTTCTCTACTTCGAGTGCTAAAGATGGAGAGAATTAACTACTGGGCCTAACTCATTCTCCCAGGGAGAGCAGTATCAGGGCCTTTTTATTCCCTGTACCATCCCTGCTGTCACACACCAAAGTGATTATTTCATGAATTTTATCATCCTATGTCCCACATTTATTTTGAACTTATTCTTGAAGGACTTCAAATTTATTTTTTTCCTGATTTAAATTTATAAAATCAAACCCACTGTCACTGATTCGATTCTGACTCATAGTGATCTCCATAGGGTTTCCAAGGCTGTAAATCTTTATGCAAGCAGACAGCTTCATTGTTCTTCTGAGGAGCGGGTGGTGAGTTCGAACCATTGACCTTCTGGTTAGCAGCCCAGTGCCCTAGCCATAGCGCCACCAGAGCTCCTTGATTTTAATGTATAATAGATAGGTGGGTTTTAATAGTGCCGCTTATCTGCATATCACTTTTCTACTATTCAAATTCCTATTCTAGCTTTCAACTTGGGATCTGTATTATGTTGTCTCTTTCCACTGAGTATGATCTAGATTTAAAAAACAAAACAATGAAAGGAATGAATGCTTTTGTACTAATTATAAATTATAATTATCTAAGTAGATGATACAAATGCTGTGAACTTGAACTAATCTTTTATTATTCAATTCTGAATCCTCTGTGTAGATATAAGTAATACACTTTAGCATTGAAACAATCACCTCTTTTTTTAAACTGGTGAATGAATTCTATTGTAATAAAATTTAAAACAGCAAAGAACCAGTATTTATATCATATCTTTAGAACAGAACAATCTTTGCAGAGTAAAACAATGAACACAATGCTGCTTTTGGATTCATCACACACACACAGCCTACTTCACCTCTTTCAGCCATCATAAAAAATTCCTCAGAGATACTGTCCAAAGTCAGATGTGCAAAAATAGGGAGCTGCAACAGGTTAGTTCTCCAACTAAGACAATCTCAATGTGCTAAATAAACAACTAAGTAGCTGAAAATGTCTACAGATTGACAAAACAGGCAAAAGAAGTTTTGTATTAAATGATGTTTTTGTATTAAATGATGTCTAAATGTACAAACTGCAATAATGGATGCTCTCTTTAAGGTTAGAATATATATCCGGTGACCCAACCTCCTTGTTATGTAAAATATAGGTAAGTGGTCATTTCTACCACTTTGCATATGGCACTGTCCCACCACTGAAGTCTGGACTTCTTCCTGCTTCCATAACTGTTCAGATACTGACTAGAATTTCTGGAGGTACACAGTTAGCACCTCCATAGGACACTTCTGCAGAAATGTCAGAATAGACCATATATGTAGGACTTGCACAGAGGGAAGCCCTATCAGACTGCCTGTCTGAGGCCAGTCAGTCTTCTCCAGCTTCTAATAAGCTGAGGGTGAAAAGAGCCAAAGAGTATATGCTGTTGGGAGGGAAAATGACAGTGGCCTGTGTGTCCACTTCTGCCTCTGTCCATGGGGGCAAAACAGAACACGACCCTTCATGTCAACCCAAGCTGGAAAGGCTTTGAGGGAACCCCATGAAGAGCTGGATAAGTATGTCTGTCCTTAGAGGGGCAGAGAGACCAGAATTTGACTCAGCCAGAAAAACAAAGGTATGGTGGTGCTAAGGCTGAGGTGTCTCCACCCATCAGCAGAGTTTAAAAGGCTCCACTTGGAGTGGACAGTATCCTAGTGACCACAAAGGTGCTCATCTCCCATAAACCATTTAGCACCTATTGGAGAGAGAGAGGCCTGGGAGTGCCTTAAAAGACTACCTCCCAGGAGATTACTGCCTAGAAAAGTAAAGATAGCCAGCAGACAGGGGTGCACCACAAGCTAGGTGGTGAGGAAGTGTAGAGAGCAGGCCAGCTGGAGGACAAGCCCTGCTGCATCAAGGGGGTTGCTGGGATAGGCCGCAGCAAGGTCTCCCAGGAATCTGTCAAGGAGACCCATATGCCTGCCATCCAGAAGGCCCCTATACCAGGTGAAAACATACCAGCCATTACCCAACTGGCTTTATCCTTTTTTTCTTAAAGACCTCTAAGCCTATTCTGTAAGGGTTGAAAACAGCCATAGTGAGAGGAAGAGGTGAAGCAAGGATGGGAGCCAAGGATGTCAACTTCCCATTGCAGGCTTCCAAGCCAAGCTGGTCGAGGGGAGAAGTTCTAACTATGCATCACTGGTTTTATTATTTTGACATTATTCTGGACAGGAACTATCCCTACTAAATGCAACTAATTCAAATGAACTGGACGTGCTATCTAAAACAACTAACCTAGGACAGGTGGGAGGGTAGAGCCATCAAGGAAGGGATATATGTGACACATAATTGTCCAGGTTCAAGTTTTTTTTTCCATTAATCACCAAATGTCTCTCTGTACAACTGGCACTAGTGGTTGTGTACTCTTACAAATCTTTGAAACTCATCACGGTGGGGTGAGTTAAGTCAGTCAACATTTGTCAAATCACTCAAAAATGGTTTAAATAGAACTTGGAAACATCCATAGATTTCAATTAGAGATATAAGAATATCTTGTTTCAACGAACATCATTATAGGAAAGTGATGTAAGGAATGTAGTAACAGCATCCATGAATCTTTCTCCCCAGAGGATGCAGTGTTCAGTCCACAATAAAAGAGGAACCAGATAAAGAATGAACACATGTATATGAGTGATGTTTTGGCACGACCATAAAAACACTCAAAACAGTTCAGCTTGCCATTCCTGTTCTATGGAAAGAGAACTATTCCTCAAGCTCAATTTACCTATGGTAAAATTAGAGCCTTCATTATTGGATTATTCTCTTTATCAAGAGTAGGTGATACTTTTCCATATATGAGGGAACATGCACAGTGGGTGCAGTGTAGTAAATTACTTAGTATGGCTTTTCTACCCATAAGTCATTGTAAACTCAGTGGTGGAGTGAGCAACTGAGGAGCTCCTGATTGTAAATGTTATCTACCTGGGTTATTTCGGTTGGACGTGGCACAATGCAATGTTATGGGAGGCTCACTCTCAGGTGCTTAGAATTCTGTGGTTATGATTGGTTGGTTTGACCACTCTGCCAAGCTCAAAAGGAGGCCTCCTAGAGGCAGAACTCTCTCTGACTGCTGGTTGAGGAAGACGTGCTGCTGAAAGAGACATGCGCTACTGAAAGAGACACGTGCTGCTGGGAAAGAGACACAAGAGACATGCATTGCTGAGACACTGAGGGACATGCACTGCTGAAGGAGAGACTGTGAGAGACTTGGCTGAGAGACGGTGGGCTGGGAGAGAGACTGAGCATTTTTCCTGAACTTGAATTGTGGCCTGGTGCTTCCCTAATAAACCCCATAATCTGTGAGTTCTCCATGGCCACTGCAGTGAATTATCGAACCCAGGAGAGAGGTGGTGGGTGCTTTGGGAGGAACAGTTGGTGAAAGGGCTGGAGGGAGGCAGCATGTCTGGCCTTGGGCTACTGATGGTGATTCTGCCTTCCTCTTGTGGGGTTCTAGGAGGTCAGAACATGTGGCCTCCTTGCCCTTTTTGCAGTGGGCAAGAGCTCAAGCTCTGGACCAGTCAGCAATTTGATTGCTGAGAGACTGTTAGGGACTGAATTGTGTCCCCCTAAAATATGTATTGAAATCCTGGCCCTACACTGTTATGATTTATTTATGAGTTGGCCTCGGGTGGA